TCTCTCTCTCTCTCTCTCTCTCTCTCTCTCGTTGTTAGGGTGGGAGTCTATCTCTTTGGTTAGATTTTCAGCTGAGTCTCCGGATTAGCATCCCTTAAATGATGAGCCAGCCAAGTTTGACTCCTAGAAACCAGGGACCAGGCAGAGACTGCAACAGCCTCTTCCACCTCCCAACATCCAGGTCCCCGCGCATTCCTGGTTTAGAAAGCTGAGTGGAGGGCAATGGGGTGCCGGCTTTCAATGGTTTGGCCACTGGAAACGTTTCCACCTCTGAGCTAAAAGGTACACTTCGAAGAAGCATCTCTCATTTTATTTGCATGATTCTACTTACAATACGCTGAGTACTCCAGAAAATTGCCTCTTTGTTTTCTGCCTGTGAATGTGTGTCGGTGTCTTTGTTCTTTATCTCCCCATGGCTCTGGCAAAGGCATATCTAGAATTTGGCAAAGTCTGGCACGTGCCCTCCTCCCCTCGCAGTTCCCATGTCCAGCTGCCAGAGATCATTCCGCAATTTAAAATCAACTGCCCTGGGCGCTATTTTCCTGGATACTCCTCTCGTGCTTGCGAGTCTCTGCGGCTATGCGTGCCTGTATATAGTGATGGGGTGTGATGTGTACCGCGCGTTCTCACAGAGGGCATTGGGTTCTCCCTTCTCTATATCTCCCGTCTGACGCTCTGCGTCCCGCTCGAACCTCCTTAAGCTAGTTCGGAGGGCTCCCTGCCAAGGTGACTCGGGCTATTGTTGCAGAATCCGGCTCCCCTGCGTTTAGGAAAGTGCGAGCCCCGGCGGCGCGAGAGGCAACCGCCTCGGCTCCCAAAGAGCTTGCGCCCGCCTCTTCCCGCCAGCTCAGCACGCTTCGTCCAGCCTGGCATCCGCAGGCCTTCCACATTTCGCCTTCTCTTCCGTGTCTGAGAAATCGTAGCTTTAATTACCTTTATGACTTTCCAGCTTCCCTGGCAGCCTAGCATCCAGAGCCACCTGAGTGATTCCTGAACCTGGGACCGAGCAAACAGTCAGGGACCTGGCGCCGGCGCCCCGAGAATGCAGATGTCCCTGTTTTGCTACCCAGCCTGCCCCTAGAGGCCCCCTGATCCTATGGGGGTGTACCTTTCCGAGTTAATTTTAAACTTTCCGTGGACGTGTGATACTCTATTTTACTGCTGATGGAATTCTTAAAGACTGTCCCCTCAAGTCCCACGAACGGTTCACTAGGGGAAAGGCTCTGAATTGAGAGGGGTAGGGAAATGAGGCTCGACCTTGGAGCCCTCGAAGCAGTTTAGGGCCCCAAGTGCCAACGCCTGCCTCACTGCATTCTCTGTCGGGTCTCTCTCCGGTGCTGCAGCCTGCAGGAGTCTAACCAACCGAGATGAAATTTACCAGAAATCAGACAACGTTACACTGCTGGATCGAAATTTCCATCACACCCTCCGCCCCACCTTCTCCTCAATCTGGGAGAAGAGAGGCCTGGGGGCTGGCAGAGAGGGTCCGGAGGGAAGTGCCCGAATAACTGCGGTTTGCAAACAGTACCCACCCCTCTGCGGGCTGGAGCCCGGGATCGCTTCTCCGGCAGCATGCAGTCTTCTTACAGTCCTTAACCCCAGACTGAACGTCAATGCCTCACAATCCGGGGGAAGTTAGGGTTCCAGAATGTCAATATTTGGGGGTCCAGGGACACTCGGCATTTTATGATGACAAAATTTAGGTACAGAGGCAGTTAGTCTCTCATTTCTGGTAGCAGTGGTGAATTCAGAGGGCGCTGAGGAGGGTCTTTAGTCCTGGCCAGAGCAAGCTTAAGGCAGCTGTCAGTCCTGAAATGCTACCAGCCTTAGAAACCAGCGCTAGCTCATGTTCCAGTTAACTTGTAGGTCTATCTTGAGGCACCCTACCCTTCTGGTTTCTTCGGACCGCCTTTGTCTCTCCCTCCCTGGGATTCAACACTGTTTTGGAGCTTGTGAGCTGGGGTGAGGGGTGGGGAGGCTGGGAACAGTCTCACATCCTAGAGCTGCACTGCTTTGAAACTTGCCTAGGCATTTATCTGTGCCCTAATTTCCACTGAGACCCTTGCTCCCTGGGTTAAAGAGGAGGTGGGGGTGGGGGTGAAGTGGACAGACGCCCTGGCACCTCCTCAGTCAGGCCAGGGTACTGGGTGCTTCCTGGGTTTTCTGACTTGACATACCTGTGGGAGCAGAGATTCTCTGCAATTTGTTCTGAGAACAGGCTCCTGGGCAGGACTGTGGGCTTGAGAGGCCTTGGGCTTTTTCCTCTTTCTCTTGAGTTTAAGGCAAATGGAGTAGGGTGTTTAGGATTTGCTATGAGTGGGGCATGGACTTGATGGCAGTGAAGCTTGGTTTGGATTTAGGATTTGTGGGTGGGAGGAGTGAAGGAGTGGGGGTTAGGAATTTTGTTGTTTTGACCTCCCCAAAGAGGCTTTACCAACTCAAGTCCTACTAACTCCTAGTTTCCTGGGAAGGAAAATGGGGCACGGCATATCTTAAAGAGAGGTTTTACTCATCTTTTAAGAAAGCGGGAGAGAGGAAGCATGTTTACTTCCCTCCCTGAACCTCACCCTTCGATGGGGTAAAACACTGCCTCTCAGCTTGCTCTTTATAGGAAGAGAGCTAGCTGGGAGCAGCCCTGTTTCTGAGAAAGACTGTTTGAGGGGGTGCTGTTTGCAGATGCATCACTGGCCATATATGGGGCAATTCATCGAAGTTCTTGTTGGGGCTCTGCTTCAGTGTCATCTTGAGCAAGTTCCTTCTCCAGAGTGCTTCTTCTAGAATCTTTAAAACAAGGCACCAACTCTGACTCTGATCAGGACTTCCAGCCCCTGGGAGCCACTATAAATCTGCCTCTTCCCTCAATCCCTTATCGCACACCCCAGCAACCTCCCAGATGGCTAAGGTAGTCAGTAAGGCTTTTGGCTGGTTTGTGCATGCACCTCCGCCTTCTGTATTTGAACTATGAAAACTCTGGAACTGCGGAGAATGTGGCGCAGGCGCTCAGCTTACCGACGCTGCAAGTGGGGAAGCGATTTTCTAGGCGGTCTCACAAGCACTCAGGCCGGCTGTTGCCAGGGTCTGACAACGTGTGTCCAGTGCGCGCTGGCGTGACCGAGGCCACCTCTGAAGTAGGCCAAATCACCAAACCCCTGAAGGACCTTCTCTGGGCTGCAACTCTTACACACAAGCTAGAGCCACGGTCCCCCGCTCCCTTCCACTCCAGGTGCTGTGTTCTCCAGCGCCTGGACCTTAAAGACGGCAATATCCCAGCAAGCCGAGCGGCCTTTACAAACCATAGTAAACATTTTATTTACAAGTTTGAGGCGGCCTCAGTGCGAGTCTTTGCGCCACCACCCCTGGCTGGGAGGAGGAACAGTTCAGCCACACTTCACAGTGCGAGTTGCGAGTTGCGGGTTTCTGGGGAGAAGCAGTGCGGCTGGCCTCTGGGCCATTGGCGGGGAGACTGGTGAACAGATGCACAGAGGGAGGTTCCGCCATGGCGTCCCCATCCCTGGCTCAGCCACCCGCATGAAAGCAGGCACGCGATCAGCGGCCTGGGGCCCTCAGCCCTCGCCCAGTCTATAGGCCGCTGGATGGTACTGGGGCAGCCACCGGGCTTGGAGGGGTCTTGTTGAGGGTGGACTGGGGCACAGAGGATAGCTCTGTGGAGCTGCTGCTGCTAAGGCTGCTGGCGCTGCCCGCGCTGCTGCTGCTGCTGTTGTTGCAGCTGCTACTGAGGCTGCTGGCGTTGCTGAAACTAAAACTGCTGCCACCGCAGCTCCCAGCGCTGGTGGTGGTGGTTAGGAGGTTGCCCCCGGCTGAGGTCTTGATAACGGTTGTTTGATGCAGAGAGAGCTCAGCGCCCTCAGTCCTCTCATTGTCGCTGGGGGCCATGTCCAGGGACTCGGAGTCGCTGCTCTCGCTCTCGGCCTCACCCTCTGAGCGGCTCCTCTCGTCCTGCTCTCCGTCGAAAGCCGGGGTTCCGTCGTCCGAGGGCTTCTCGGCCGGTTCTTTGTCCTTGTCTTTCTGAGCCTGGGCCTCCTTGGAGTGCCGCCACTTCATCCGCCGATTCTGGAACCACACTTTCACCTGCAAGACGCAGGGGGGAGACAAGGAGGGGCATGGAGATCAGACGCTGGATGGCAGGATCCTTGCTGTCTGCATGCCGCTTCCTAACTCTGGAAAGCGTCCCTAACGGCCCCCAGCGCTCCACCAAGCGCCAGGCCAGAGCAGCGCAAGGGGCCGGAAACCTACGACTCCGGAAGCTTCTAGGGCGGTTTCTTTCAAATGTTGTCTCAAACCTGTGCCTGAAATGGTCTGGGTGGTGTTGGCAAAGCAGATTCCTGCACCCACACCTAGCTAAGAAGACCTCTACTGAAAATCAGACTTTAACTTGAGTCTAAATTACTGACCCCTGCCTCCCCTCCCCTCACAAGGCACTTAAAAGCCAAGATTTTACTCAACGTTTCAGGAGTTTGGTGATCCAGTGTTAAGAATTCCTGGTAAGTTGGTTCACTACTATTTTACTACCCCCATCACCACCACCCCAAGTAAGTCCCTAAAAAAGCAATTCTTTTTTAAGTCAGAAGAGGCGTGGGAAGCAGAAAGGGAGAGAGTTCATCCCAGCGGGGTGGGGGCACTGCTGCCGATCAGATCAGCAGACCATGCCCTCCCATGTTTGGGAAAGCAGGCTAAGAACCCCACCTATAAAGGGAGAAACCTCCACAGGAGAAATCCAGCAGAGGACTTGGACAACGCTGAAAGGAAATGTGTGCAAAGTGGAGGGAAGGGTAGGGATGTGGCAGAGAATCTACATAAAGATATAGGATCCCCTAGGGTCAGTCCACTAGGCGTTCACATAAGCTCCAGCTTCCCTTTTAAAAATAACATCCACAGCTGGTGGAAAGTGGCTGGGCTCTTCTTCCAGTGTGTGTGTGTATGTGTAGCAATGTTGTGTAATGCAGGACAGAAAGACACAGAGAAAGAAGGCCCTGGCCTAGGGAACTCAGAAAAAGCCCTAGCTTTGAGAGGCTGCTCTGCTCTCCCAAGGTCATCTCCGGGAGGGAGGCCCGTGGCTGTGGGGCATGAACGCACTGCAGCTTTTCTATTTCAAAGTTTAAAAAGGAAAATGGAACTCGGGTGTGATAGATTTCCAACTGAGAGTAACAATCAAGGAAGCAGAACGTTATAAAATGCTCTGGGAGGTTCCCAGAAGGTTCTCTCTCTCTCCTTCGCCCCTTTCCCCCATTCACTGCCTTTAGAAAATCAGACTGGCTGAGATGGCTTCCCTCCTGGACTAATTCCGTTTGAAATGATGTTTTCACTTCCTCACAACCAGGGATTTCACAATCCAGTGAGGGGAGGAGGGGAGGCAGACAGAGAGAAAAAGAATGCTCTCTTGACTTTGGTTTTTGTTTTAAATCTCTTCTGAAATTAACTGTCTCCTACAGTGATTTGCACGAGAGCCAGCTACGTAATTATTGACTCCCCAGGCCTATTTGTTTTCTTGAGGTTCCTTACCCCATTGACCAAAATAAACAAGCAGTGCAGCTGACATTTTTGGAGATGGACTACTCTTTCTGTTCTCTCCCCCCACTTCCCAACCCCTCCTCCTGCCCAACATTTCAAAGTCCTCTGAAATTCTAGAGCTTGTGTTTCCAACACAGAAAGGGTAGCTTTGAGGGTGGCAGGACTGGCTCTTCCACCCACCCAAGGGTGCTGCTGTGCACTGAAGCCGGGCCCTGGTTACCTGTGCATCAGTGAGGCCCAGCATGGCTGCCAGCTGCTTTCGGTCTGGCTTGGTCACATACTTCTGGATCTCAAACCTTTTCTCCAAGCCTTTCCTTTGCAGGTTGGAGAAGACTGCCCGAGACCAGGAGCGCTTCCTCTTGTAGGTCTGTGGCATGGTGTCCTTCGTCAGCACAGCATAAGGGCCTACTTGGGCACAGAAGCAGGAGAGACAAGAGGACCTCATTAGGGCTCAGTCCAGACACTGGCCTGGGCCTCACTGGCCGGCTGAAAACTTGTTTTGGTTGAATTAGAAAGCCCTTGACCTGTACCTGGAATAAGTTCTCTAAGAAGGAATTCTACATTTGTTGAGGTGAGAGTGAGAAGGCTGAAAGTGTGGAGTGGAGAAACCTCTGGCTTGCTGCTTCATTCCACGGGGAAAACATTAAATCCTAAGGGATGGCCCTCAAGCAGGTGGAGAAAATGTCCCTCAGGCTTGAGGGATCTATTCTCAATTGTATGCTGGTGTATTGAACTATGGTGTGTCCACATGTGCCTGCAGAACCTTGTCTCTCATGCTGACGGTCATCTTAAAACGAGTGGACATTAATAAGCAGTACATCTCCATGTTGCATCAAACTTGCATCTCACTCAGTCAGACACACACGCCAAGCCTCCCCAGCCCACGCACCCACAAAGTCTCTGTCTAGGGTCCCAGGTGCCCCCACCGCTTTGCCCAGGGGTGCCATCCCAAACGAGTGCTAACGCACTAGATTCGCAATCTTTCGGTTTCTATCTACGGGTCCTCCTGCATCAATACCGGATCGTGCCATCAGAACCACCCCTTGAGGTGCCAGGTCTGAGACTTCTGACTCAATCGAACTGCTCTTTGTGCTACCGACCAGGGAGGGAGGGTTTCAGTACCTGGAAACGTGTCTTGAAATTGATGCTGAACTGAATTTCTCGTGTTGGAGCTTAAGGGACTCAGGATGGCAGAAGCCTCGTTAATGGGATCTAGAGACGCGAAGAACTGGCCAGCTGAGGGCTGCAGGCCGGGAAGGTGCATCCCTGCGGCCCGCCCGCTGGTTAGCAGGGACGTGAGATCTGGGCAGGGAAAAAAGGGCTGTCTGGTTACACTTCACGCAAATACATAATCTCTGAGCTGATTGATTCCCTTCTCCCCTGCCCTCGCCTCAGTTGGGTTTTACTGGAGCTAAAAAAAAAAAAGAGACCACCCCTGTCTCAAGGCTGAAATTCCCTCTCCATAGTCGCCAAGAGGGCGCAAAATATTCCAGGGGTCACGTTCGCATCCACGCAGGTAACAAGAAGGCATTGACACTAAACAGCCTAAGGGCAAAGTCACACGAGGTGCCTTCCAAAACGTCTACAGGCCTGTAACCGCCGCCGCCCCCAGAGAACCCGGCGCTCTCCTCTGTGGGAGTTTGAGAATCCGCTTTGTTTAACTACAGTTCTTGGATATAGAATTATACCATAGTCTGATATGTAGAAGAAAAGAAAAATAGCTCGCCAGCAGGCTTTTTCCCAAAGGAAAATGTAGATTTTCTCTCTCGATATGGCAGGAGTAAGAAGTGGCAGTCCGACACCGTGCGTGGCGGTTCTCCTGCGAGTAGGATTTGACTAGCTCGCCAGAGGACTGGTTCTCTAGATATGTAAGTTTTTAAAAGACGACAGTAGTTACGTTAGCAAATATCTACACCGTTATTTTGATGAATATGAATGGTGGCAAGTGCTTGTGAAGTTTTTCAAACATTTTTTATGAAGAGAAGGTAGGTGAATTTTAAATCGAAAATGTGGCCGCTTTCTTATAATTCGTTTCTGTCTCCCCATTTTACCCATTAGTCTCTCATTATAGAAACACAAGCACCAAACCGGCCAGAGGGTCCGGGAAACGAATCAGCGCGGCGGCGGTCAGCGCGGCCTGCAGGCTCCCGTCCCTCCTACCTACCTCTTAGCGTGTTGCCTTCCTTGACTTTGGGGTCGAATTCGGCAGACAAAATTCGGTCAATTCCAAATTTGAGGTCCTTGCTGGAGGGGGCCTGGGCCGAGCCGCTCGGGTGTGGGTTCGAGACCCCGCGCGCCGCGGTGGCTTGGGGCTGCAGGGCGCCGGCCCGGGGCGGAGGCGTTGGCTGCGGCGGCTGCGCCTGCGGCGGCGGC